GGGAAAGAGAACTACGATTACGTCTTTCAGAATTATATCGTTATCGAGAACATGGAATTACAAGACACGAAGAATGCTCTCACTTCGAACAAGTGATGGCACAAACTCAGGGACAAAACGATACCTTGGATCACTGGAACGATAAAAAATCTGTAAGTATTCGTATCCACATGCTTAATAATTTTGTTCACATTGCAATGGCAATTCAAATTTTTTTCGAGTAGTATACCTTTTTCCTTATGCTCTAATGTGCAATGTTAGGTATATCTAATCGAATTTTAAAATGCCTTGTATAAACATACATTCGTAAAAGCTAGTAAAACTCTTGAACTATTAGTATGTGTTGCTTAAAACATTTTTTCTTGTTATAGTTTGTGTTTGTGCCCCTAATATGTGTAAAACATTTTATAAAAATAAACATTGACTTCTAGGTTTCTTGATATGTTCTTTGTAATGTTTTGTTTTGTATGTGTATTAATTATTTTACAATTATGATGTAAATATGTTGTTCAAACACTAACAGGCAATTAACACTAATAACAAATCATTGTATTTCGTTATTGGTCGAATTTTGTAACAGATATGAATATCTATTGATAATGATAGAAATATCACTGAATTGGGGAAGACTTGAATACAAAATATCAGTCTTAATTATATCGTATACACTAGCTTTTGCTTCTCCTTTAACTAATTCCATTGTTTGTGGTGCGTGTTGCCAGGCATTTGTGAACAGATTGTATCAGTTTGCATTTCACTTAGGGCAGCAGTGGGCCGTCCACGCCAATACACCGTCACACTTCAAAAAAAAGGTACAGGGCCATCTTAAAATTGACTATTCCAATAAATATAGTCCGCGAAGATGACAACACTACTACGTGACAAATATATATAGGATGTCCCTTGAAAACGAAGGTGAATCGACCCATAGATTATACAACATATTTTGCCCAGAATGACCTCCCAAACACGTTGGTATAGTCTGTCGGTTGAGATCTAGGACACCCTGTATATATTAAAAGAAATGATTTTAATAAAAAGTATATTCGTTGTTTATATTATACGTTGCAGAGAAGAAGAAAAAAGCTACTCTTCCACCGACCGAAAGTACATTGCAAAAGACTTGCCCAGCAGCAGCTTCTCAGTCAATCAAGCCAATCCCAATCGGACGACGACTCAAGCCAATCAGTGGGCGGAGCCGGATAACAATCCAAATTCTTCCAGCCAGCATTCTACCAGCTCCAGTTCTGTCACAGAAAAGAATTATGCTGCGACAACTTCCG